ACACACACACACACACACACACACACACACACACACACACACACACACACCTCCCATCCCAAGCCAGGGAGAAAAGTACAACTCATATCATCAAATACCGAGATGAGTCTACACACAGAGACCTTACAAAAATAGCCTTCATTTTCTATTAGTTCTCCCATAATTTCCACTTTGCCATAATTTATCATCCCTTTAAGTTCAAATTCCTTTATTCTGTGAAAAGGACATATAAGCCTCTGAGTCTAACCACTTCTTGAAGTTTCATTCCTTGAACTCCCGGGCATGGAAATATTACAAAAAAGCTTATCTTTCCTCCTGTTAATCTGTTGTTGCATGTCCCCAGGTACTGAACATAACAGAGTAGAAGGAAACTTTTTCCCTCCCAAACATTCTCTGCCTCTTGGACTCTAGGAAATTCCTATTAATTCTTCGTGGTCCAGCACGTTTCCTGCTCTGGAAAGCTACGTACAGTAGACCTCTCACTACTGCACTTAGCCCTGGACAGATGTCAGACTGTCATGCTCATCTCTCTCTCTCTCTCTCTCTCTCTCTCTCTCTCTCTCTCTCTCTTTTTTTTTTTTCCTAGCACCTAGTCGAGGGTCTAACATGAAACAAGACTCAACAAATGTTACTGAATGAATGTGACATATAAAGTCCCTGATATATATCACAAGCCATCTCCTCCATGATCACTGCCTGCCTAAATGACCTCACATTTGCTCAGAGTTCTCGGAGCATTGATACAATAATACCTAAGTAACATCTCTACTTCCCACGCCTGGCTGAGTAAAGAGCACACGCACAGCCCACGCGTGCAGTCTTAGCTGGCTGAAGCCACACCAGCCAACACTGTACGGTTGACCTACTTTGTCCCCTCACCCCAGAATTCCTGGCATCAGGACCTTCTCTACCTATGTGGAGCCTATAAGCCGCATTCCATGAGCGCTCTGACATGCGTGCTTACCCAGGATGCTCATCACCACCAGGATGGCAAACAGAAGGACCGCGATGGCCCCCAGCAGGAGCCGCGTGGTGGTGTCTGAGGAGGAGAGAAAGGAGTCAAGACCCACCACTCGCCCCATTACCAACCCCCCAGCAGGCCCGGGGCCTGACAGAATCGGAGGGCAACGCCAGCAGCCTGGGCCGTGAGCAGCACCAGGTGATTCTCATGCCCCCAGACTGAGGGCCACTGACCCAGCCCCACCCACCATTCCCCCGCTCAGACACCCTGCAGGGCTCCCCACTGCCCACCATCCTGCCGCAGCCAGAGCTTCCCAAACTTGAATCTTCTGCTGCTTCTCTCCCCTGACCCAGATCTCAGCCAAACAGGCTCCTCACAAAACCCCCAGGCCCTCAGAGTCTGAAGTGGCGTCTCTGCCCCTGAGGTCCTCCTCCTCCTCCCCTGTACCGGGAACCCTGCCACCATCTGCGCTCTCCCTGATTCACTAGGTTCTCTTTTTCTGTTATTGTTATTGCTTACCATTTTTATGTAGTTTTTGCAGTTAACAAAGAAACCCTTTTAGGCTTTAGACATGCATTTTTTAAAATATATTTAGTTGTAGATGTGTTGAAGGATGTGTCAGAAGTTTATTCTGTTTAGTCAAAGGGCTCTTTAAATCTGGGTTGAGTCTTTCAGTCCCAGGAAATTTTCTTTAATTATATCATTGATGATTTCCTCTCCTCCACTTTTCATTCCTTCCTGGAGATCATATTATTCAAATGTTGGATCTCTTGGACTGGCTCTCCAATGTCTCCTTTTCCCCCACCCTTATTCTCTATCTCTTTACCTTTCATTCTATTTCCTGGAAGATCTTCTCAACTCGGTCTTCCTACTCTTCTACTGAACTTTTCATATTGGTGATTGTTTGATTTCCAAGGATTTTTTGTTCTGTTGGTGCTGTTCTGTGACTATCCTCTCTGAAGACATCCTACTTTTCTATTTTAATGATGCAGTAGTTTCACTTATCTCTTGTCTGAAGCTATTACTGATATTCGGGGGGAGGGTTCAATCTCTGTTTCTTCCAAATTGATAATTCCTTGCTCATTTGTAATTTCCTACAATGGCTGAGATCCTTGGCTATTTATTCATGATCAAGACAGAAAGACTAGAGTTCCCTGAAGCCTCAGAGTCCCTGCAGGGTCTTGGTAACTGTGGCCGGCAGAGGGATCTTGGTAACTGTGGGCCCGGCAGAGGGATCTGGCTGGGCTGACCCTCAGGGATGACTGCCAAGCTCCTGGGAATTTTCCTCGAGTGGGTCAGAGTTCCTGGAGACGCCTCCTGTTTTCTCTCCTAGAGGGTGTAGGCTTGGCTAAGGATCCTCCCAAGGAGGCGGGAGGCTGTCCCCAGCACCTGCTGTTCTCAGTGTGGCAGTTCTGTCTAGAGGGCCTCTTTCTTGAGAGATTCTACCTTGGCTTCCTACCAGGGCTGGGGAGAGGCCGTGTGAAGGGGACTGAACTCTTCCTCAAAGCCGTGGTCCACCAGTCCTGTTCTCAGCTCCATCTGCCTCCACAGCCCTTCCCTGAGCCCTGGGGCCCTCACATGGGACTCAGGGGGTCCCCTGCTTTCTGGGCCTTCTCAAGTGGTCTGGCTTTAGTCACACCCATCTGCCCCCAAGCTCCCAGTTTTGTTGCCCTGGTCTTCTCTCCTGTCCTTGCTGAGTGTGGCCTTTAAATGTCCCTTTGCTGTTGCATTAAGGGCTTCTGGGGGAAGGAGCAGGAGTAAGGTGTTCAGCTGCCATCTGGATGGGCGGGCAAGGCCTTGGGCTCCTCCAAGGCTCTCCACCGGCCTCCAGCAGGAGTGAGGTGGGGGCTCTGGCAGAGGCCCCACCTGCCCTGGAGGACAAGGCTCTTTAGTCTCTGCCTCGCTGTCCTCTCCTCGGTGATGAGTGGCACAGGCTGCATGCCTTGGGGCTGCAGGATGTCATTGTGGTGAGCACCCTGGGTCATCCTTCATCTCCCCTCTTTCTCTGACATGGGGACTGGAGCCCCCGCACACTGAGGGTGAGAATGCGGCATCCGACACCGCCTTGCCCGGGTTCAGATCCGCTGTGTTCCTCTCTGGACGTGTGCGCATGGCAAAGTTACTCGGCCTCTATTTTGCTTCTCTCCATCTTTAGAATGAGGTCACGAGGGCGCCTGCCTCTTGGGATCACACATAAAGTCAGTGAGCAGTCAGCTCCCCAGGCTCCGCCTCTGTGGATTCAACCAACTACAGAGTGAATACTCATTCAGGAAAAAATCACCTCTGTACTGACTATGGACAGGCCTTAGTTTCTTGTCATCACTCCCTAACCGTATAGTGCAACTATCTTACACAATCTAGAGACGACTTAAAACCCACAGGACGAGGTCTTCAGGTTCTGTGCAAATACTGCACCATTTCATAAAAGGGACTTGGATTTGGGCATCCCAGGGGCTTCATGGAGCCAACCCGCTGTGGATACCAAAGGACAACTGTACAATGCTTGGTGCTGTGCCCGGCTTGGTACACTCTAGGTCACTGTGAGCCATCGCCATCCCTACAATGTGATGATCAGTCCTGGGCTTCTTTGGGGTAAGGACGGAATCCTTTTTTGTGTGTGGTGCTGGGGATTGAACCCAGGGCCTTGTGTGTGTGAGGCAAGCCCTCTCCCAACTGAGCAGTTTCCCCAGCCCAGGATCACATCCTTACCAAGTCCAAGTCCAAGTCCTCCTTGAATTCCCTAAAATAAGACTTGGTCATTACCTTGCATGTTCCAGAGCAACACCACTGGGACTCAGAAAACACGAGGGGACGTAGCTACACTGAATGACAAGACCCCAGGTCAGCCTTAAATCCAGCAGAGTGTGCGGGAACTCGGCGGGACAGGGGGGTGTGCACATGCGTCTCCACCGCGCCAGGACTGGGGGGCCTCTTCACTCCTGTAGGGGGCTAGCTCTACACCACTGCACTGTGAGCAGGGAGGACACACAGCAGCCCCAACACACTGTTCACTGCCCGCTCTCCCCAAGGACACCAGTGTGGCTGGACACACTGTGTGGGTTTTCTCATTGTGTTGGTTTTCTGGAGCAGCCTTAGCAAAATATACAGTCTGGGGCTTCAAAACATCAGTGCACACTCTCATAGTTCTGGGGGCCATAAGCTAAAAGTTGGGGTGTCACTGTGGCCATGCTCCCTCTGAAATCTGTAGGGAATCCTCCCTTGCCTCATCCTAGCTCCTGGTGGTTTGCCCAAAGTCCTCAGACTCCTAGGTCTGCAGCTGCGTCCCTACAGCCCCTGCCTTTGAGGTCACATGGGCTCCCCCTGTGTGTCTCTGACTTCTTCTAGGGACACAGGTCATGTTGGATTAGGGCCCACCCAACTCCAGTCTGACCTTAACTAATGCATCTGCCGGGACTGTATTTCCATACAAGGTCACACTCCAAGTGTGGGGCTTGGGACCTCAATGTCTCTCTTCTGGTGGGAACTCGATTCATGTCTAATTCAGAAATCATTCCTACTCTGCACTAGAGCACTATGCACTGAGCTGGAGCTCACGGGTCTGTTCAGGTTTCCGACTGTGTAGGATTTAGCCTAATATTAGAAGGAACCGCTGAAAACATGTGGCTCCTCGACCCAGACCAAGCTCCCATCATCCTCACACCCGCATCTCAAAAAAGGCCCAAGGCTGACGTCTCTAAGCCACCAGGGTGCAGCCTGGCCAGAAAAATCTTGCTTATTAAAACCATCAAATATGGAGCTTGGTAATTTTTTAAGAGGCTTTGCTAAATGTATGTATGTGGTTTTGACCAGGAAGTTGTGGGTTTAGGCCTAATCAAGAAACTTTCAACATTAAAAATTCAGAATTGGTGCGCACTAGAAAATCCATAGCCTGAGTTATGCAGAATCACTGTGTCCCCTCTCCCTCACCCCAGGCCACTTTGCCCCCAATGCCAGAAATATCTCCAACCCTCCCGGTGTTTCCAGAACCCAGGCAGTAGCTCTGGGTCACCTTGTCCAGCGTTTCGCTTGAGCTGGGGTGGAAGGCGAGGGCTGTGTCCACGGGGAGAGCAGCCTGGACCCAGGGCACTTTGTCTGCTTTTCTATTTGTAAAACTGAGAGTTTGTCTATGGAGTCTTCGAGACCAGGGCTCCCACCTTGGCTTTCTGGCTGAAGCAGCTCTATAATAATTCACTTAATCCTTGAGGAGGAAAAGCAGCATGCCCTAAAGTGGCAGGTTTGTCTGAGGAGCAAGGGGAACAGCGCCATGTGCCCAGCAAGCGCAATTTGATTATCTCCAATTAGCCTCTCCGCGCCTGAGTCCTCGGTCACACAGGACAGGGTAAGAGCTTCCACGTCAGAGGCAAACCCCATGGGAGTTTCCTGTGTTAGTACCAAGGTCTGTCCTTGGGCGGGACAGTTAGACTCTCAGTCTCCATGTCCCCACCTATAAAATAGAGGCAGTGCCCACCAACACCCCTCAAGGGCAGAGGGAAGAATTAAATGTGGTGATTATTTCGAAGCCCCAGCACAGGGTCCAGCACACAGGTACCTGATAAACATTTGGCCCACAGTAATTGCAGAGCACAGGTGCCTCTGGGGGCTCAGCCTGGCCAAACCAAGAAGTCTCCCCTTAGCCAGGTGCAGTGGCACACGCCTATAATCCCAGTGACACAGGAGGCTGAGGCAGGAGGATCACAAGTTTGAGGCCAACCCCAGCAACTTAGCGAGACTGTTTCAAAAAAATAAAAGGGGCTGGGGATATAGCTCAGTGGTAGAGCACCCTTGGGTTCAATTCCTAGTACCAAAAACAAAACAAAACAAAGAAAGAGTCTCCCATTTCTCTCCAAACATACATTTAGCTGAGCACAGTCTACAAAACCCCTGGGTCCCACATCCCAACCATAATGTGTCCCTACGTGAACTCCAGCAGACTCAAAGTTGGCAGACTAGTGTCAAAGGATTTCAAATGACAGCAGGTCACCCACATTCCCTGGGTTCTCCTATTGAGGCTACAGGGTGTCACATCCAGGGAGCTGGGGACCAGGTTCATTGTGTCAGAACCACACTCAGCAAATGAGGTAGCCGAGGCTCAAATAAGTTGGAAAACCAAAAGCCTGCCAGCCCGTGGTGATGGAAGTGCCTGGCTCTAGATTTCTGGACAGAGGGCTCTTTGTACCTCACCACTCCGTCTCTGCCCTGTCCGGGGTCTCTGTGAGGGCAGGATGTGCAGAACGGTGCCCGGACATTGCAGACAGGATGAGGGACAGTAGAAAACAGTGGAAAGGCCAGCGCT